ATAATACAGCTGTTCAGGACAATAACCGATAATGACCGACTAATTTATTTTTAAGAATTTTCAGGAGATAGGGCTGAAATGTGGGTACCGATTTTTACCAGACAAACCTACATTTTAATTTTTTTGAACCATGTTTTCTGCTGTTTTAATCAGTTTGCCATGTTATCCATGATTAAACAATCTTGAAAGTGAGTGCGATACAAAATTTTCCTTCATTGCTTTCAACTGAATATTTGATTTTGCCTTTTTTAGGGTCCTTCGAAAAGTCGTGACACGCAGGTCAGCAAGAATAGTCAGAATTCAAAAAAAGGTTAGTATGGAAATTTCTAAAAATCTCTGTCATTTCTTGTTCATAGTTCCTCAGAACAAGGCCTCTTTGAAATACAACAGTGGTTGCAACTCTCAGTCCCAGAATTTTGGCAGAAGAGGTGCACGATGAACTTGTGTTTTTCTTGGTTGATTGATGAGTTAGCAATAGAAATGTCTTATTTTCTTATTATAGGGTAGACGACGCGATGAAAATGGTTCATCATGTTTTCGTGAGGATTAACATTGACTGTGATATTTAATTTTTTTCATCTGTTTTGGAACTTCCACGCTCTTAGTCAGATTTGCCTTACAGACGTTACAGAGTTATCTGTTTATTCTCATAACCCCTACTTAGCATAGCTGATTGCTTGCTTGCCTGTTGACCACTACCCTAGAGGCACAGTAAGCATAACTGCTCGTAAATGTGATCCTTTGCTCGGGACGTTAAGATCAGTTTGTGAGGGAGTTATTTAAAATTTCTTCTCAATTTAATAACATAAATTTATTCACACTGTTTAATAACCTGTACTTTTAAAGTGACGGAACGTCTGAGCGTCAGAATAACTTGAGCGTTAGCGCAACGTCATTCAAAGTGAAAATGAGGAAAAAACACTTCTTATCTCTTTGAAATTGGATTTTTGTTAAGGAGTTGCACATTAGGCTGATTAGGATAGAAAGAAACTTTTATGATGTCGGTTTCCCGGTATAATTTTATAGTCATCAGTATTTTCCTTATTCTTTTGTTATGAAGCTTGCTATGCGGCGTTTATATCCGTTGCCAGGTCGTCAGCCAGGAAGACAATATGTTAGTTTTGAAGCATCTACGCTTAAGTGGCGAGTAGTCGCCTTCCTTCTTCTCACGTGATGCCATCCCGAAGTGACCGAATGCGCGTTATATTTGTAAAATGCACGAATAATCAACACGGTATTACAATTTTGTTAGATCTGACATTAACACATACCAGTAACACATCCCAGTCGTCGGTAGATTTTCTGCTTGCTAACCGTTTGCAGACTGCTGTAGCGAATCTGATTGGTGTGATTTCCATATCCAGTGAAATTTGTAAAATAAATTCATACCTCATTAGAAATCGAATTCGCTCTACTGACTGCAGAGTCGACAGGATCCGTTGCTCCTGTGGCACTCCACTGTTGTGCTAATTTGTACTCTGAAGTAACCACTGAATGCAGTTTCCAGTAGGTTCGAAAAAAGTGACAACGAAGTCCAATCGTTGCGCTGCTTTGTAAGGAATAGCGACCTATTTCTGTTAGTGTAATTTACTGTATGTGATATGCATTAATTGTAAATGAGCGAAGTGACGAAAATGTTGATTTATATATTTACGGTGTTTTTTTTGCTTTAGGGAGTAAATACAAGTGGAAGAATTTCGATATCGATGTCGAATACGCGTCGAGAGTTCCTACACGCCCTTATCGGCGTTCAAGGGGTAGTACGCGCGAAGGCGGCAGCAGTGGTAGCGCTGAATTTCATCCGAGAAATGTGTATGTGAACAACAGTAGATATCAGACGGCGATGAGATATGGTGCTGCGACGGATGTTCAAGAAGTTTTACCAGGTGAATCTGGTTTTTCTTCTGCTTCTACCATTGCTGCTGCTGCCCCATTGCCGGAAACTGATGGGGCAGGCAGCTGGAACTTGGGAGCTGATGGTAATGACGGTGCAAACACATCTGAAATGGATGACAAAAGGCGATTAGACAAGAATAAACTGATATCTCCCGGCAGCAACGGTGGTCATTACAGTGGGCCGCCGCTGACCAACCGTGAATACAAGTACAGACCACGCCAACAACATCGTCGCAACGTCGGTAAACGCTAGATCATTGGTTTTCTTGCCATTGTTGTTCATTCATTCTTGTGTCTAGAGACCGAAAACGCAGAGGTTGACGACAATTTCGACTACATGGAGTTGTTAGACATTCAGTACGCGCAGTATTACGCGATGACCTCTGTCCCACCTTTCGAACTGAATCCGTCGAACGGTGCAGTCGATTGCTCACTTGTTCCGTCTGCGTTGTCTCCACATAGCAACGGTGAAATGGTTCCCGGGCCTGCATTCGTCATTGTGCCGACTGCTGACGAATTGGCAGTGACGGCAGTTTCTAATGGGATGACTGATTCAGGAACGAATAGTGCCATCGCGTCGCCCATCGTTCACGTTGGTGGCAGTCAAGTGGCATCACTTGGCGCGCCCGCAGTGGTGCCGTACATTTCTGTGTCTGCCTTCAGCCCGATCATACCGACTTTTATGTCAGTCGATGAGGATATCCTAAAAGAATACATTCGGAAGCAGATGTACGCGTTTTTGACGTGCTCCTATTTTCTTGTCTCTAGCTTTGCTGATTTTAGCGAGTACTACTTCAGTGACGAGAATCTACAGCGGGACTTTTTTCTGCGCCGCAAGATGGACGCCCAAGGATTCTTGCCTCTTTCGCTGATAGCCAGTTTTCACCGCGT